TCCAGGCAACAAAAAGTTACCTCCTCAGAAAAAATTTTGACAGGATCTCAATCAATATTCAATATAACTTTTATTCACCATTCGTTTTCCGTTAATAATAACTTTTGAAAGGTAGTCTGTCCGTCAACGGCCATCACGTCATGACTGAAAGAAATGCTTTATTTGTTATTTTTATTTTTTTTGTAAGGAAGACGCAAATAGGACATTGTCATACATTTTGAAATATCGAACCAACTTTGAGTTGAGAAACATGTCGAGTGTCTAGAAGGCTTGACAAAAAATAAATGTGACAAGCAATAAAATGGCGGAAAAGTACGATTATTGCAAAAAAAGACAAGGGCAGAAAACGCCATGTTTTCCAAAAGCTAAAAAATCGGAAAAGATCGTAAGCGGGCCACACGTTGATTGCAAGGGCATCACTTCTTTACGAATTTAAATATGAATCATAAATAAGGCTTAATAATATATTTGACATTAAACTAAACGAAGTATTAAAACACAGGAGTGTTTCATTAGAACAAAGAAAAGATTGCTGACCTGCTAAGAATTATCCTATCTACTATGTGGCATATCAAATGTAATCCTAATATATGACAGTAACTACAGGAAAATTTCTGTAAAAGAGACTTAAAACAACAGTGATGTGATATTGCAGAAGGGTGCTGAGAATACCACAGAGAAAACATGTGAGCAATGAGGAAGTTATAAGAAAATCGAAACGAAATGTACAATAACAGCTATAAAAAGAGACAGGCGAAATTTCTAGGCACCATAATGCGAGAAAAGAGCTTGGAGAATTTGACAAATTTATGTTTAAATCAACATCTATCTATCTATCTATCTATCTATCTATCTATCTATCTATCTATCTATCTATCTATCTATCTACTCAATGTTTGCAACAATCTCTCTCTCTCTCTCCATCTATCTATCTATGTTTAAACTATCTATGTTTACATCAATCTCTATCTAATTATCTATTTATGGTTACATCAATCTCTGTCTATGTTTACTTCAACCTCTGTCTATATATCGATATATCAATCTAATGTTTACATCAGTATCTATCTATCTATCTATCTATCTATGTAGGTAGGTAGGTAGGTAGGTAGGTAGGTAGGTAGGTAGGTATATATATTTACTAAGCGTCTCAGTACGAAACAAATGTATATATCTGGACTCTTTTCTTCGTTTTTAATGAAATTATCTATTAATAGTTAACTAAGTTTTTGGAAGACATTTCTCTATTTCTAGGTACTTCAGATTTATTTCACACTTCTTATATGTAAGGTAATATTAATGTATATTTTAAAGATATTATAAATATCTATCTATCTATCTAACTATCTATCTATCTATCTATGTTTACTTCAATGAATCTGTCTCTCTTTATCTTTACATCTATATCTACCTATGTTTACATCAGTAACTATCTATTACTTACATTAAATACTATCTATCTATCTATCTATCTATCTATCTATCTATCTATCTATCTATCTAGCTAGCTATCTATCTATCTATGTTCATATTAATATCTATGGATTTATCAATCAGTCTCTTTGCCTATCTGTCTGTCTGTCTCTCTGTCTCTTTATCTATCTAGCGAGGTAGGCGTGTGGTAGGTATGCTCAGTACGTAATAAGTGGATATATTCGCAATATTTCTTTTTGTTTTTAATGAAATTATCTATTAATACTTAACTTAGTTTTTGGAAGACATTTTGCTATTTCTAGGTACCTCAGATTTATTTCACATTTCTTATATGTAATGTACTATTAATGTATACTTTATAGATGCTAGGTCTGTTTTCTATCTATCTATCTATCTATCTATCTATCTAGCTAGCTAGCTAGCTAGATGGTGGGTAGCTCGGTAAGTAGATTTAATACGCTTCTTCATATACGAAATATATATATATATATATATATATATATATATATATATATATATATAGTACTATTTTCCTTGTTTTTAATGAAATTATCTATTAATACTTAATTCAGTTTTGGAAGGCATTTCGCTATTTCTAGATATCTTCCGATTTATTTCACACTTCTTATATATAACGTACTATTTATGTATACTTTAAAGATGTAAAATCTGTTTTCTATCTATCTATAATATAATATAATATACTTTTCTGAAATTATATTTAAGAATTATTAGCCTATTTAAAGTTTAATAAATCTCTATTGAAACAAATATTGTTTTTATTTTTAAATATTGTAGAAAAGCATTTTTTTAACATGGTGGTGGGTTTTTTCTTGAGTTGTTGATACATTCATCAACATCTTTATGTTGTGGATATTTATCTAAGGAGGAAATAATTGTAAAAAATTGCACCGTGAGTACAAAGTAAACGACTTTTTTATGTCAGTTATTAGCTACCCCAAAATTTAAATAAAATTATATATTTAAATCAATCTAATATTTTATTGAATTTTAGATACTTATGCTTTATAGTCTTACGTTTTTATTTTCTGACAATGTCTAGTATGAACATCCGTATTTAAAAATATCAACACATTTATACAGACACACAAAAGAATTGAAAATTCTTTTAAAAGTACTAGGTATCGCTGAATTGTAGTAAGCTATTCCATTTATGATTAGTAAATGCAGATCTTATACAATAAAAAAACAATTGACCGGCACAAATTAATAGAGAATTAAAAAAACAAAAAAACATGTAAAAGTTCATAGATTAAACAAAAAATGAAAACAAGTGTTCATAATATATCTTATTCATAAAAAATAATTAAAAGCATTTTTAATTAAATAATGTCTTAGTTTTATTGCTTTTTTTTAATTTTACGATTCAGAGCGAATTATGATGATTTAATTTCTCCTAAGACTTGTCCTTATAATTAATATAAACATTAAACACCGCAAAAAAGATTTTCTCGTAATTAAATAAATGTGGGTAACAAATATGAAAAGAATAATTTTTCTAAGATTTTTTAAAACGAAATAATAATTTCATTCGTTTGTGAATAAATTCTGGCAGTTCCATTAAGATTCGACAATTATCTGATTTTTCCTATAATTTCCAAATCAATGATTTTCACAGTAAAAAAACACTAAAATTTCGCGTTAGCGTGTTGCAAAAAATTCTACTATTTAATAATTGCATGAAATATATAAACTGGTATATTTATAAGTCTAATGCAAAAAGTAGATGGTTATTAGCTGGAAAAGAGAAAAAGGAGATCAGAGTTCAAATACCGAAATTTTCTGTTGTGTGAACTTTCGCAGTAAAGACCTTTGGAAAGGCAGGAATTTACACCCTTGTGAAAATTAATTGTAACAACTGTTTTAGTTTCCTTCCTTTCATCATACGATCAGTTTTAGAGCCACTAGAGTGACAGGGTGTAATCGAGTTCTATTTTTTCCTCAGATTAGGTCATTTTCAGTGGTGTGCAGTAATATGAATCTATTTTCGGGGTGTTTGATGAAATTTGTGTGGCCTTGAAAATATTGCGCCATCCGTGTTTGCATCAGGTTTTCATCACGCCCAAACACTATTGTCTTGACTGTCGATTAGTTGTCCTACGGCCATGAACGTTACTCCAAGGAAGCGTACGATAATTCTAATGCTACACGAACACAATGGCAAGCCTTACTAGTGAGCAAGTAAAAGTACTATAGACTAGCATGGAAACTCACCTGATTTAAATCCAATCGAGAATATGTGGTCAATCTGTAAGGAACGACTTCGTGGAATGGACATGTGCATTGGGTCATGTTTCATTGGAAAAATACGAAAAAAAAGTAAATAATAACGGAATTATTCGTTTTGTTCCAATTAATTTGCACAGGGGTGTATTTCTTTTCCCATCAGTCAAGTTTACAGTCTGCAGTCGCTCTCTCACAGTCCCTCTGTCTTTTTTACAAATACTTTCACGGTAACTGCTCCGATGAGCTGCTTTCGCTGGTTCCCAGACTTCATCAATTTAAGCGTTCTACTAGGCTGGCATCTCGCTCACATCTTTTCACTGTCGAATCTGTTAAATGTAGCCATGTCTTCTACTCCAATAGCTTCATGCCTCGCACTTCTCGCCTGTGGAACTCCCTTCCCTATTCCAGTTTCCCTGATAGCTATAATCTCCAACTATTCAAATGTAATGTCAATCGACTTCTCCGGATGCCTTGATCTATCCCCTATCCTTCTCTGCGTCCTTTCTTCTATCAGTCTTCTTTGCTCTTGCTCCAACTCTCTGTAACCCCTTGCCTGTTAGTGACTTCCCGCCTTGCTTGGGGTGAAACGCTTAAAACAAAAGTCATTCCAATAGAGATTTGTAGAAGGTACCGAGATCCTAGTCCAATGTATTTCATAAGACATCATAACAATTCACACATATTAAAGCAATCTGTGGAGAGTAGGATCGTCGCCGTGCTGAAGAAAGGCAACATTTTCCAAGTGTCTACTGTGTAACATCAACGTAAAGATATTTTAAAAGTGTCTTTAAACTTTGCACGGCTCTTTATTGTTTTGTCCAGTCGATCAACCGAAGCGCGACGTTTGCAAGCCTTAAAATAAATTCAGAAGTCCGGAAAACTGGTTCCACAAGAACATCAATCAGGATTTAAATACGTTTATTTCTATTCTTGCTCGACAAGTCACTTCCCAGCTGATAAATGTCGAAGAACGGCGTGAAGTGAGGTCGGCTATGATGGAAGTGATTTTTAGCTCGGTCAAAGCGGAGACATATGCAGCGGGTGTAGCTTGATCGTCATCCAGCGACCGTTAGCGACAAAAATAAAATCAAAATCGGGACTTGGAATATCAAGACAATGAGGGTGGGCTTGGAAAATTTTACACTTACAGGTAGGGCCGGTACAAGGCACTAGTGTCAACTCCGCTACCCACCGAATCTCTGATACGTCCCACCCAAATCTATGATACAGGGTTTCCACTCTACTATATCTCAATTGTCATATGGTACTATTCACGTAAAATACACTTTTTATGGTAACCTGTTAGGCCATCAATTTACTCAACAAACATGAAGATAAGAGAAGTGAACAAAGACCGAGAGAGAAGGAGTGAGGAAGAAAAGATGAGAGCTAAAGAGAGAGAGAGAGAGAGAGAGAGAGAGAGAGAGAGAGAGAGAGAGAGAAAGACAGACAAGCTCAATAAGTATTTAAGGCGTTGTTTCCCTGTCCTGCTTACTTTCAATTTGTCCTGTGAATATCAGATTTTCCAAACCCTCTTTTCTCATTCCGTGCTTCAGACATTTCAACTCTCTCTTCCTGATGTTAAGTATAAGTTTCCTTTTTGTTACCCTTTTCTCTAAAACTTCGTCGTTGCCGACATAATCACTCCATGGTATTATCAGCGTTCTTATACAGAATCTCATTGATATTGCTTCAAGTCTCTTCTTCATCTGTGAGGAGATTGTCCAGCAGTCACGGCCATACAGGAGAACATATATCACATAACAGTATAGTACTCTTTCCTTTTTTTCTAGCGAAGTTTTCCTATTTCTTAGTATACTACTTAGCTTTTTGAATGCTTCCTTGGCTATCGCAATACAACTTCGGATTTCAGTGTCACTTCCCAGATATTTAAATTTCCACACTTGTTTGCTTTTGGCATCTCTGATCTGCAATTCGCACTTTGGGCTCATCTTTTTGCTAACAATCATGCATTTTGTCTTCTTGCAATTGATGTTTAATCCTCTCTTCTCGCTTTCCTTCACTACCGTCTGTAGGAGGGCTTGCAGCTTTCTTTCTGTGTCTGTAATCAATACTGTGTACTAATTATTGAGTGTTCTTATAACCAAAATAAACTCATGTGTGATTTTCGCTGCAATGCCTACAGAATGAATGACTTTCATCTTTGAAAGGCACATAGTTTAAAGGCGATACAGGATATCGTAGGTACCTAAAAGATTTCGGGGGATTAAGTAGTCACGCTTAATTATGTATTTGATGACTTCCATACAATTCATAGCCGACAACAAGCTACAGGCTAGGAACTCCCTAAACGTTTCTCCCTATAAATTATTGGTACCTAATTCCCCATGTATAATACATCTTTATACATAGTACGCACCCCTAAAATTGTGCTGAAAGTGTGGAAAAATGCTTGTACTCACGTATAATACACAACCCTTTTGGTAAATTGTACCTCTTCAATTTCATTACGGCCAGATTAGAAAAATGGTTTTAAACATAGTGTAATATTATTCTAATTTAGTTTTATGATAATTCTTATTTTATTTTACAATTTTAAGTATTGTTAGTTATATATGATTATATTTCAAATTCTTATAGGGTCGCAATCGCTGAATGTTTGTGGCAGATGTTTATGGTGAGTAGACATTTCGCAAATAAAATCGATCTATGAAACGGCAATTTTTTAAAGATTGTTTTGTAGCTGAGCATAATAAGCACCCCTAATTTTGGCTATTATTTTTCCGGAAAAAAAATGCGTATTATACACGGAGAATTATGGTAAATACTTATTTGCTTAACGTCATTACAAAAACCGAGGTATGCTTGAACTAATTTAGGTCTTTTGGAAAAGTGAATTGGCGTTAAACGAAAAAAAAAAAAAAAATAGAAAACGATGGTTTGGCGATGACAAAATGAAATATTCACTTTGGAAGAGAGTTCAGATACGTTATGATACGCTTTGATATTTCGGAAGAGGGCAATCGTTTTGGCTAAGCGGCCATCTTGTTCAAGTCGAATGCGTTCATAACCCACTTGGTGGGCGTTTGATGGTCTCGTAAAAGCAAGCGTTCATTTATTCACTTGTTTTATAACACAGCATCAGTTTCGTACCAGTTCTCTGTATTGCATGCATAATTTCCATCAGTGGGTTTTACATTACTGCATAAAGGAGTATAAAGTATTGAGAAAATAAATAAAAGGACAGAGCGAGAGAGAGAGAAAGACAGGGGGAATAGATAGTAACAGTAATAAAAGTGAAGAAGAGGGAACTGAAATAGGAAAACGGAGCGAGAGAGAAATAGAATTAGAGAAGGTAAAAAGAGGAATAGGAAAGAAAAAATATAAAAAGCTTGCAAACGAATGAGAGAGAGAGAGAGAGAGAGAGAGAGAGAGAGAGAATAAAGAAAGAGATGAAGAAAACAAGGAGAAGTGGAAAGAGCGAAAAGAAAAAGGGAAAAAATACAGAAGAGAGGAAGGAGTGGAATGACAGAGAGATGGAGGAAGAAAAAGACGATGAAAGAGAGATGGTAGGGAGAAGATAAAGAGATGGTAAAGAGAAAAAGAAGATAACGAAAGAGAGGAAAAGACACAGAGAGAGAGAGAGAGAGAGAGAGAGATTGGGAATTAAAAAGACCGAGAGAGAAGGAGTGAAGAAGAAAAGATGAGAGCAAAAAAGAGAGAGAGAGAGAGAGAGAAAGAAAGAGAGACAGAGAGAGAGAGAGAAAGAAAGAAAGAAAGAGAGAGAGAGAGAGATAGATAGAAATAGAGCTTAAAGTAATAGAGACAGAGGATAAAAGAAGAAATAAATCGAGAAAAAAGGATAGCGAAGACAGCAACTGTTAGAGATGGATAAAACAATAGAGAAAAAGAAGTGAGAAGGTAGAAATTGAAGGGAAAGAAATACAAGGATCAGAGGAAGAGAGAGAGAGAGAGAGAGAGAGAGAGAGAGAGAAAAGAAATCTCATGCGAATTTATACACAATATATTAAGAATGTTGACATAGGAATCAATACTGCAAAGCGAATGGCAGTTTCACAAATGAAATATTCATCCTGACATGTATGATGATCAAAGATCTAATGATCGCTTATGGCCTAAAACTGTTTGTCAACATGAACTGTTCATTTCTCTGTCTACACTATTTTATCGACAAATCCTCTATCCCCGATATTGAGAACTTATCCCCAATAAATATAGCAAATTTTAAAGGACATAATTATATATATATATATATATATATATATATATATATACAAAACAAAATTACCTCAACATGAGTATAGTCTATTTCAAGCTGGTCTGAACCCAGCCGTCTTCAGCTAGCATGAAATAGACTATACTCATGTAGAGGTAATTCTGGTTTTTGCTCTCTCTCTCTCTCTCTCTCTCTCTATATATATATATATATATATATATATATATATATATATATATATATATATATATATATATATATATATATGAATAAAATAAAAGGAAAAACTTATCTTAGCCAACGTGTTTCGTCAAGGTAAATGCAAGGATTTTATTTTGTAACAAGTGTTTATATACAATAGCATAAAAGTTATTAGCCTTTGAAAATTTTGAAATTTAAGAGACGCTCATGAATATTCATTAGGTTAACTGAAAGGTCTAGGTAAATTATGGAAACGTTAAGTGACATAATTTAAAGTCTAACGAACCAAATAGAGTAAAAGATGTTCTTTACATTTTTTATTCAAATTACTATAGGAATTATTTTAGTTTTGGATTAATCTCTGAGTTATACATTTGAAATAAAACTAAGTCATGGATTAAGCCATTTTCTTTTAAATTTTAAACGTGGTTTCCTTGATAAAGTCCCTCAGGGGAACGAAATGCCTCTGCTAAGATAACTTTCGCTTTTGTCTTTATTCGTCTATATTGTCCTTTACAGATATATTCTATCTGAAATTGTACATACACACACACACACACACACACACACACATATATATATATATATATATATATATATATATATATATATATTTTAAGAACATGGTCCGTCGTTTTATACAAGTTTTTTAGAAACTTGTATAAAACAGGGATTGCTGCCTAAATACACATAAATACATAATATATATATATATATATATATATATATATATGTCGATGCAATCGAAGCTACTCCGAAGCAATTCTGTGGTGAGAAACAAAAAAACACCAGTCTACAAATTTCCAGAGAGACCATTGAAAGTAGACGACAAACCCTGAACTATGTAAAGTCCTTCACCTGTCTTGTTAGCAGAGTCAACTACATTGCTACTTTAGATGATGAAATCATGCATCGCATTGCTAAGGCTACCAGTGCTTTCGGCAAACTTCGCCATCGCTTGTGGAATGAGCTGGATATTCGACTGGATATGAAAATTCGGGTTTACAGAACTGTTGTACTTGCCATCATTTTGTACGTCTCAGAGTCGTGGACCCCATACAGGTACCATATACGCCAGCTGGATGTTTTCCATAAAAACTATCTGCGTGCAATCTGTGGAGTTAACCTTCAAGATAGGGCATCTAACGTAGACCTGTTTAACAGGTGTAATATTGGAGGAATCGAGACTTTTCTCATACAGTCTCAGTTACAATGGACTGGTCATGTCTTGAGAATGTTTGATGACAGGTTACCCAAGATCCTTATGTACAGCCAGTTAGATCAGGGCTACAGGAATATAGGATGCCCATGGCTAAGATACAAAGACAAGCTGAAGAGCAACTAGTCAGCTGTCAATACACTTTTGAGCGTTTAGCCTTGGAGTGGGTAGAATGGAGATCAACGTGTTTTAGTGGACTCAGCAGTTTTCAATCTGCTTGTCTGAATCGTCTTCAAGAAGCGAGAGCAAGATCTAAAAGGTCAGCCAATCTAACAGTGATCTCATCCCACAATCTTCACTCTTGCTTCATATACGGCCGCCTTTGAAAATTACTAGCGGGTCTTAAGTACATTATCGTACAAAATTTCATAATTGAAACAATTAAGCAGTCAGATCCTCATACGTCGAAACCGACGGAAGAGTCCATTATTATTATTATTATTATTATTATTATTATCCATTATATATATAGCGATATATATATATATATATATATATATATAGAGAGAGAGAGAGAGAGAGAGAGAGAGAGAGAGAGAGATAGAGAGAGAGAGAGAGAGAGAGAGAGACAGAGAGGAAGGGATATGTATCAATTTTCAAATTAGCCGCAGCGTTTCTAGGTAGGAAGTTTGTAATGATAACGATTTTTCCTTAATGTTTTAGATTGTTAACATGTTAACATTGAACGCAAACGTTGACAATAGAAGCAAAAAACATATTCAATCTTACAAACATTCTTCGGATATTTCATATCAGATCATCGATATGTATATATAACGATGGAGGAAAATGTTAGGAAAAGTTTATCATAGAAGCAGAACGAACCGTGCTAAAAGAAAGAAAGAATAAAATAAATAAACAAATAAACAAATAAATAAATAAAGAAAGAAAGAAAGAAAAAAAGAAAGAAAGAAAGAAAGAAAGAAAAGGATTTAGGTAGATAAACTGATAAGTTTACCAGAAAGAGAAAGCTGAATGAACCGTGCTAAAACAAAGAAAGGAAAAAGAAAGAAGAAAGAAAGAAAGAAGGAATAAAATAAATAAATAAAAGGAGTTCGGGAGATAAACTGAAAAGTTTATCAGAAAGGAAAAGCTGAATGAACTATGGAAAGAAAGAAAGAAAGAAAGAAAGAAAGAAAGAATAGGAGTTAGGGAGATAAACTGAAAAGTTTATCAGAAAGGAAAAGCTGAATGAACTATGGAAAGAAAGAAAGAAAGAAAAAAGAAAGAAAGAAAGAAAGAAAGAAAGAAAGAAAGAAAGAAAGAAAAAAGAAAGAAAGAAAGAAAGAAAGAAAGAAAGAAAGAAAGAAAGAAAGAAAGAAAGAAAGAAAGAAAGAAAGAAAGAAAGAAAGAAAGAAAGAAAGAAAGAAAGAAAGAAAGAAAGAAAGAAAGAAAGAAAGAAAGAAAGAAAGAAAAAGAAAGAAAGAAAGAAAGAAAGAAAGAAAGAAAGAAAGAAAGAAAGAAAGAAAGAAAGAAAGAAAGAAAGAAAGAAAGAAAGAAAGAAAGAAAGAAAGAAAGGAGTTAGGGAGATAAACTGAAAAAAATATCAGAAAGAGGAGGCTAAATGAATCGTAGCGAAATGAATAAATAAAGAAAAAAAGAAAGAAAGGAAGAAAGAAAGAATATAATAAAATAAACATAACGTAAGAGATTTAGAAAGAATGAAAGATAAACAGAGAGAAAGGTAAAGAATGCGAGAAAGAGAGGAAGCAGTGAGAAATTATAACACAGGAAAATAGCTCAAGTGGAAGAGAAAGACAGAAAGAAAAGACAGAGGGAGAGAGAGAGAGAGAGAGAGAGAGAGAAAGAAGAGAAGAGAAAAGAATACAACAGAAAGATTGAAAAGGCGATACATAAAATGGTGGGTAGAAATGAATGAGAAACGGAGGACGTAGAATGATAGAAAGGGTAAGAGAAAGTGTTAAGCAGCAAACCAGTGAACGCGAGATAAAGAGAAGCGGCGAGGAGAAGCGAGAAACGCAAGCTTGTTAGCGGATTCATAACATTGATAAGAAGAACCCGGTATTGCGGTGTTTCTGTATTCATAGGCCGCTGGGCAGAGTCTGCTGAGTGCCACTTTGATAATTTCCACTCCAAGTGGTTGCCAAATTAGCCTGAATTAGTAGCGTTTAAAAATCTCGGCGAGATTTGACTGAATCTCGCCGGCATAGCCTTTTGTGCTATTTAGTATGACGTCCGCGTTTACTCCTTTCACACTCAAACGAATAAAGCAAATGAAAACCCAGTCATTAAGTTCGCAAAAACAGCAACAATGATGGAAATAATAATAATAATAATAATAATAATAATAATAATAATAAGCAACTTCTACGGGAAGAAAACTGAAAGAAACTGGTATGAACACCACCCAGACCCGGTTACGGAGATAGGACCTGTTACAATTCTATGGGATTACACAATACACACTGACAGAACAATCAAGGCCAACCGGCCAGATATTGTTATTAAAGACCACAAACAAAAACGATGCCTCCTTATTGATATGGCAGTCCCTGCTGACTGCAATGTACCTTTGAAGTTGTCAAAGTACAAGGACCTTGAAATAGAAATCTCGAAAATGTGGCATATGGGAACATCAACAATCCCTGTTGTAGTTGGAGCCCTGGAATGGTTGGAAAAGATTGCAGTAGACTAATTGAAGGGATTCCTGGAAGTACATGCCTCAAGGAGATACAGAAAATTGTTCTGACACGTACAGCCCACACCTTACGAAGGGCTTTATCTATGTAATTTTTTTTTTTTTTGTCAGTGGAAAGTGTCATGACGCCATTTCTAACCTTAGGTCCCTGGGCGGGACCCGGAAAGAAATGTGTAAACACCAGAAATCAAAGAAAATAATAATAATAATAATAATAATAATAATAATAATAATCCTTAGTATCAGCATATTACAACTAGGTGTATCAAAGTCAAATTTGACAAGATATGACGAAATACCATATGGCGCCTGTCGAGAGACTGTGGTAAAATTGTCAATCGTGTCGCAACTTAGTTCAGAGGCTTTAAAATGGGAATAACTAGAAATTGCCTTGCGAACTATGCAAACGACTTGAGTCTGACTAAAAAAATACTGGCATAGCCAGGATTTTGATTGATTCGTTTAAAGCCAGAAAATATTTTTAGTCTTACCTATTATGCAATAGCAGGCGGGGGTGGGGAGAATAGGTAAATTCATGAATCCATACCTTTCCCAACTGTATTTGCGCATAAGTCTATATAACGAACCTAACGTGAATTGAAACTCAGCTCTCCGATTAACAATTCCATTACACCACCTGCACTTCCAAGCTTACAACACTTGGTATTCCCAAGCGTTCAACAATGTAGAA